TGCGTGTGTGTGTGTGTGTGTGTGTGTGTGTGTGTGTGTGTGTTCCTTTTCCCTCAGCAGTCCTTGACTGGGGTCCTGCAGTGTAGTGGTGGGGATGACCATCTCCCATTCTTTGCCCCCACCAGTTCCAAATTAGCTTCTAGTCCTGGTCCTTTTACTCTGAGATGCCATCTCAGTGGGACATTATTCAGGCAGGTGACCATGGCGTGTAGAAATTCCATAAACATCCAAGGGATGATGGGCAGGTTAAAGAGAACAGATGGCTTGTTTTTGAGTTCATAAACGCTTAGACTTCCCTGACGCAGTCCAATCCCTTTGTAGCATCTAAAAGCAGAGAGCAGGAAACAGCCTCTGCGGTGTCAGACAGGTTTGCTGTTAAGTGTGTGTGCACTTCAAAACCGGAGTAATTTTCTTTCATTCTTTTTTATCCTGTAGATCGCCAGTACCTACTGCAACATCTTTTCTCCCTACACAGCGACTCCAGCTTGGGAGGGCAGGGCCAGGGTTGTCACAGCTTCCCCTGTGGTGTCTGCCTGCCAAGCACAGCTCTGGAGTTAGCCCTGGGTGTGAGGTGAGAAAGAGATTGCATGGTCTGGTTTTTTTCATTCCCTTGGGCAGGTGTCTAGCCCACAGTTTGGGCATGTACACCCCCCTGCTGGAACCCCAAGCAGGCTAGCCTGCTCTGAAGCTGTGGTGATTTAACCTCCATCGCAGCACTGACATTGGGTTGGGAGCCCCCCTTAAAATTCTCCCCAGTTCTGTTTTTAACCAAGTGTGTTCTTCTGTAACCTAGTTTTCTCTTTTTCCTACACTGTCTGCCCTTGTCAGTTCTCCCTCTCCTCCCACCTAAGCAGGCACCTCGCAGAAAATTTAGATTAGCTATTTAGACAGTGAGTTGACAGCTGAATGTAATTCCTGCCGCCATTTGATGTAAGCTTGCTTTCTGCTTCCACTGGGGTTTTTCTTGGCCTCAATGGAAGGGGTCACTCAGAGGTTCCCCTGTAGTGGAAGTTTGGAGAGCTCATGCCATTGGCTCACTGTGGTCTTAGGGGCCCTTGATGTGTACATGCCTCTCTGGGTGGCTGCCCAAGCAGTGGTCCCAACTGTATGGTGTTTGTCTTTCTGCTTTTCAGATTCTCTCCAGAGGCTGCATCTCGGCGAGGGCTGAGCACAGCAGAGATGAATGCAGTAGAGGCTATTCACAGAGCTGTGGAATTTAATCCGCACGTGCCAAAAGTGAGTCTGTGGATCCCCCAGGAGCTCATTATGAGAGCAGAGAAAAAGCATTGCTGACCACAATGTCATGTCCTCAGGATGCCCAGTTTAAAACAGCGAATCACAACCAACAATGTTGGGACCTGTGCAGTCTATTGGCGTTAAGCCTTATTTTTGAGCAAAAACTACACTCAAGGGAACTCCATGCTGGTTTTCAGAGTAAAAATAATAAGGAAAATCAATAGACCTGGTTTAGGCAGGCCAGGCTCAAGAAGTTTGAAATTGGCTAAAGTAAAGATCCTAAGAGTTTGATGCATTTGATAGGAATTTCACACCAGTTGTAGTCTTACATGGGGCAAATTCTGGAAATAAACCTTGTGTGTAAAACTTGTAAAAATACCAACTAATGTGACATTCTGTGTCTCATTAAATAAATGATAGGCAATCAGTGCTGGCAAGAAAATAATAGGAAAAACTCCAGAGCATATCATGTTTTGATTTGTGAGTGCATAGAGGAAGTGGTCATCTTAGGTGTTAATCCCCATGATTCACCAACTGGTAAATGCTCAGTGCTTCTTACATAGTCTATTCTCAAGTTGATTTTAAGGGAATCAAGGTAAAGGATATTTCTGGCATCCTTTATTCATGAGATGGATATATAGTTAGAATTTCCCTGCAATTAAATATTTGCTTTGTGGTAGATATGTGCTGAGGATTAATTTCAGTCTATTGATGTTAAGCACATGTAGTCTCTAAGACCATTATTCCTGCAGTTCACATTAGGTATTATAAGGCATAAATCTTTTGACATATGTATGGTGAAGACCCACTGGTGAAGAATGACAAGGAAACACTGCTTGTGTTGTTAGAGTATAGAAAGAGGGCAGGGCACGTGAATGTGTGTAGTATGAATGAGGATTTACGGAGTTACCCACTTTATTTTGTTGATATTGAAAGTGGTAGAGATAAGTGATCTAATATCATTCTTGAGGTTTGACTCAAGTCAATATCATGATTTTGCTTAACAGGAAATTGAAGAGAGGTGTACAGTGCCATTTTTGCATAAGGATGTGTTTAGCTGCTCTAGTTCTGATGGCTAATCAGCAAAGTATATGCAGGGACTTAAGGGCTATATGTGGGATGCTATAGGCATGCATCCTTATACAATATTTTGTGCCTAAGCCAAAATGTTTATTGAACTTTGATTAAAATTTTAAACTAATCATAAAAATTGTCCAGGATTACAATAAACTAAAGTTATCTGTTAATATTTATTGAATACTACCCTCTAACTTCAGAACTATTTTGTAAGCACAAATAAGGCACTTTAAAAAAAATTACTATTTTTATTTTATGTGTATGCATGTATTGCCTGCATGTAGGTAAGTACACCTGTGTTGTACAATGCCTGAGGAGGTCAGAAGAGGCTGTCGGATCCCCTGGGACTGGAATTATGGACAGTTGTTAGCTGCCATGTGGGTGCTGGGATTCAAACCCAGGTCTTCTGCAAGAACGAGTGTTCTTAACCGCTGAGTCATCTCTCCAGCCCCCAAATAAGGCAGTTTTATAGGACACATTGAGCAATAGGATCCTCATTCTGGATGGAAAACTTGGGTTCAAGTTCTGGTTGTCATTTACCAGCTACAGAACCTTGGGCTTGGCAACTCTCAACTTTTCTTTCAAATGAAGATTAAAAAATACAAGCCCTGTCTAGCTTCTGTGATACGGATCAAGTGAGAAAAAATATTTGAAGTTTTTGCAAAACACTTGAACACATGTATTTATAGATGCTTAAATTTATTGGTAATTGGTTGTTGGACACTCCTCAAATCTAAGAACCAAGACTTACTTTTTCCAGCCGTCCTAATGAGAGCCCTGTACTCTTGAGGCACAAGACAGAAAATCTGTAAAGTTCTTGTTGGTTATATATTTTGATGAAGTTGTTATTTAATTCTATGATAATGTTCTGAAATGGTTAATTAAGCTCCAGAAAATTATTTAAAGCCCTTAGGATAGTTCAAAGCTGCTGTGGAAGATTTTTGACAGTTTATATATACTCTTGCCAAATAGAATTATTCTAAAAGTGGAAACATTTCAAATACCAATGTTTTAATTGGCATATGGTAATTGTACCTATTTATGGGATACAGCATGGCATTTCAGTATATGTATACAATGTATAATGGTCATATCAGGGAAATTGGTATATCTGTCATCTCAGACACACAGCATTTCTTTGGGAACATTTCAAATATTTGATCTCATTCAATTTTCTAATCATGAAACAGAAGAGAATGTATTAGACTTTTAATCACTATGGCAAAATACCTGACATTACAATGGGGGAAATTAATGATTTTTGGCTCAAGTTTTTAGGGGTTTTAGTCCATCATGGTAAAGAGAACATGACAGCCAGGAAGGGGGGGGAGGTGGTGGTAGAGAAAGAAAGAGAAGAAGAGAGGTGGGGAGAGGGAGAGGGAGATATTGATTGATTCATGGTGGGTCTTCTCCCTTTAGTCCTCTTTGAAAAATGCCTTCAGGCACTGAGAATTTAACCAATCTTCTAGGTGCTTCTCCAATCACATTGACAGTCAAGATGAACTATCATGAGTTCACCCCTTGTTCATATATAAACACATCTCCTAAGTCATAATAATTGCCCCTGGTTCCCAAAGGCTCATTTCCATCAATTTCTAAAATGTGTGTGCATGCATGTGTGTGTGTGTGTGTGTGTGTGTGTTTGTTTGTATATGTTCGTATGTGTGTGAGTGCATGTATATTTGTGGGTACACATGCATCAGAGGCTAGAGGACAACCTTGGGTGTTGTTCCTCATGTGCCATTACCTTTTTTGTTGTGTGGTTTTTGTTTTCAGACAAGGTCTCTCTCTGCCCTGGAACTTGCCAAGTAGGCTAGGCTGACTGCCCAGAAAGCCCCAGGGATCTACCTGTCTCCACTTCCCCAGCACTGAGATTGCAAGTGCTGCCACCACATCCAGCTCTTTATTTTTTTGTGTGTATATGTGTGGAGGGGGTTCTGAGGATCACACTTATGTCCTCTTGCTTGTAACACAAGAACTTTATAAACTGAGCTATCTCCCTAATCTTCATGTCCATCTGATAATACAAAATACATTTAGGCCAGGTGTGGTGGCACACACCTTTAATCCCAGCACTTGGAGGCAGAGGCAGGTGGATCTCTGTGAGTTTGAGACCAGCCTGGTCTACATAGTGAGTTCCAGGCCATTAGGGAGACCTTGACTCAAAAGGACCCTCCCCACCAAAATGCTATCACCAAGTGTGTTAATAGTCTAACATGTTCAAAAGCCCAAATTCAAAGTCTCCTCTGAGAAGAACATGGACTCTTAGCCTTGAACTCCTGTAATTAAAAAAAAAAAGATTTCAAGGGCTGGAGAGATGGTTCAGCAGTTAAGGGCACTGGCTATTCTTGGAAAAGACTTGGGTTCCAGTTCCAGCATCTACATGGCTAAAAACTATCTGTAGCTCCAGTTCCAAGGGATATGATGACCTCTTCTGGATTCCATGGGCACTGCACAACACAGGTGCACTAACAAACATGCAGGCATAGCACTCGTACACATAAAATAAAAACAAATTTAAAAAATTTTTAAAAAACCAGGTTATATACTTCCAGTATATAGTAGCACAAAGTTAGCATTCCTGTTTCAAAAGGACAGAATAGGAAAATACAGAGGAGGGATTAGACCAAAGCAGGACTCAAACCCTCAAACCTAGGCAAATATTAAATCTTGAAACTCCCTGTTTGGTATCCAAATCACATGGTGTCGTGATATAAATTGCAAGGACTTTGACAGCCCTACCTCTATGACTTTGCTGGCTGTAGTCCACAGGGCCTTTTTCTTGGACTGGCTCTACTCACTGCCTACAGCTTTCCTTTTCCAATGTTCCCAGTTCCTGCTATCTAATTTCTCAAAGTCTCAGTTGCATCTTTTCCTTTACTATCACATTATCACAGTTTCATTCATCACCCTCTCCGGGGCTACCTGCAGGGAACCTGACCCTGTCACATATTGCCTAGCCTCTCAGACCTTCTTTAGGAGTTAGTGTAGAAATTTCCATGATCCATAACTCTAGTTTTCTGTATATTTGCAAAATTAGCATAATGTGAATGATGCTAATATCTGTCAACTTAAGCAGTAGCCAAGCCCCCTTGGACCATAGCCGCAGCCTGAGTCCCTAGGTGGCTGAACATGAGAAAACACTTTCTTTGGTCACTCTGTTAAGCACCATGGGCTAAAGATTCTGTTTCTCAAAGCAAAACCTTTCAAATGAGTTAAAACCTTTATAGTATTAAGCCTGGGATAATTGGGGGCTAGGACATTTCTACAATATCCTCAAAGCATCTTTCCTACTGTTTTGATGGGAAGTATTTGGTTTCTTTTTAATGACCATGCCATATTTTCTTTGGTGTCAGATTTATACATGACTTTTATGGGAAAACCTGTTTTTAAAAGTTCTAATCAAAATTTTCACTGTAAACTTGGCTAAAAGCAGCAAGCAATAACCATGCTACCATCTGATTTATGGGCTACCTGGAAATTTCTTCCACTAGATGACTTACTAGCCTACCACCTTTAAACTCAGCCTGCTTTACATACAGTATTAAGACAAGGATAAAATTTAGACAAATTCTTTGTCACAATGTATCATAATTAACTTCTAGTCCAGTTCCCAAGAGTATTCCCATCTGAAACCTCATGAACATAGGTTTTACTGTCTCCATTCCTGTAGGCATTTTGGCCTTATGAACTTCTATCAGAATTGTCTATTAAGTTGTGCGTACAACATTCTAGGTATTCTCTAGCCTAGTTCTCAAAACTTTGCCAAATATCTGCCACAAACCAATCCTAAAGTCTTCTAAACCACATAGATAGATAGTCACAGAAATGATTCCACTTCTCTGGTACCACTTTTCTGTGTTAGAGTTATTGCCCCTGTGCAAAATACCTGGTGAAACCAATTAAGAGGAAGGATTATTTAT